CGCAGCTCTTGCAATCCCTGTAACTCCGCACATTAACACTGTCGACTAATTTTGAGAATGTTTACTTAGTGCTTGTCAAACTTTTATTTATAACTTTGTTCACTATACTGATAAAATGATTATAAAACAAATTAGTTGATCATGAGCTAATCTACTTTTTATTCCCAACACATGGAACAGATGAAAAAATCCTTTAGAAATTTCTATTTAAGCTAATCAATTACTTTAACTCTTACTTCTTCCTTTTTTCGTGGTACCACATTAACTGTTTCGTATTGAGTTGGAATGACTAGCTTCTTGGATACAAGCCAGAGAAAGAAAGCACAAACTAATGCTCCAGTAACAAGGCCAGCAGCTATCATGAGTAAGAGAACGAGCCTTAAAAAAAACTCCTTTTTGTAGAAAGATTTTTGAGGGGATTTTATGACTCTCAGTTGGCTGGTTTTTCTTCTGAAGTTTTCTATGTTTTGCGTCAACTTTTCGTGAGCTTTTTGTTTAAATTTGCTTACAGGTTATGCCTCAACCATCTCACCATAAGTTCATTCTTTGGATTTAATGCAGATTTCTGATGCTACAGACTTTCTTTTTGGTCTCTGCAACTTCAAAATTGTTGAACTCACCCTTTTACAACTGGGATTTTGCCAATAGTTTTTCCAGATGTGGAAGATTCACTGAAAATATGAGCACTCGTGCTGTTATCTCTTAATAGTCTTTCTGTTGTCGATTCGTTTCTTTCTTCTATATGGAATTTGTCTGTAACATTTTGACCGGCCCTAAAATGAGCATCTTTAGGAAGAAGTCTACTCCAAAGGGGCTACATTTCTTTACCCTAGTTGTAGACCAAAAGGTAAGCAGCTAAAACATCCCAGTAAAGCACAACCACGTTCCAGGCCTTGATTCATATAAATAGGTTACCAGACGCTCATTATTATTATTAATTACAGTATCAGCCGCAATCATATGCCAAGATACATACATGTACGAGCCTACCGACGGTAAGTAGACTTTACTGTTGGTGCGCTCAATATAAGGAACAGAGACAACGAGAATTGGAGAACATATGTTTGTTCCAATAGTAACGTACCAAGTTTCGAGGAGCCAGGCCAAGATGTTTCGATGTGCCAAGAAATGAAGATTATTTTGTGCTTGCTCTGTGCTGA